CACACACACACACACACACACACACACACACACACACACAATAACCCAGTGAAAGCGTCCAATTATGGCCGCGTGGAGGCTGTGAGAGGAGGCGAGTGAGATAGATAGATATGTATACGTGTAGGTCCCACCCACTAGAGCAGGCAGACCGCACCTATATTTGCGCACCATTTTTCTCTCTTTTCAGCGTAGATAAATACCGACGGGTTTTTACGCCCAAGCCGGTGTAGCATGGCAGACATCCCTCCTATGGAAAACGCTCCCCCACCGCCCCTACACGCACATGCGCAATGCGTTATGCCCCTCTATGCGTTACGCTAATTGGCGAATTATGCTTGTTTTCATATCATCATATCTTTATTTTGGGGAGAGATTTTCATATTATTTTAACGTGGATGGAGGGATAAGATACTTGAAAGGTAGATTCCTGAGTTTAGTTGGCTTTACGGTAACACAAATGAGGTAAACCAATAAGTGACTAAGCGGGAAAATCTCAGCACAGGGCGGTAGGTGCATTGAAGGCAGCGTTGAACGTGTTAATTGGGGAAGGGGGTATATCCATCATGCCACACCGACACCGCAACCCCTGAGGTGCGAGACTGGGTTCTATTCGTATATATACAGTATAGGCGTGTTCGCCCGTAATTTGTTTGGCGACCTCTCTTTGTGACGACTTTATCACCGATGTGTCACGCGTCGCGTCGCACGCACGCACGCGCGCACTCGTCCGCCTAGCGAGTGATTCTAGAACTACTACACATCGACAGCGAGGAATGACACTCGCGTGGACATGCGTCTTTACAAATAGTCAATCGTTTATATAACAGCAGAAGCTTTGGCCTGACGCAAACGTGAGATATATCGATTACAGTAGATTACATCGATTGTAGTGATACATCCCACAGAAAATAGATGCATGCTTGCGTGCTTGTGTGCGCGTTCGTTCGTACATACGTGCGTGCTTACGCGCGTGCGTGCGTGCGTGCGTGCGTGCGCGCGTGTGTGCGTGTGCGTGTGCGTGTGCGTGTGCGTGTGCGTGTACGCGCGTACATGCGCGCGCGTGTGTATACGTGTGCGTGTGTGTTTGTATGTGCGTGTGCGTGTACGTGTGCATGTGTGTTTGTATGTGAGTGCGTGTGTGTGTGTGTACGCGTGCGTGTGTACGTGTGCGTGCGGGCGTGCGCACTTACATGTACGTGTTAATCACGCTTCAGCGCTGCAGGGTTACACGCGGGTTCATCAATCCTGACACGACGCATCGATAAATCACTGAAACATTTATTCACACGGCCTGACCTTACACCGGTCACCCAGTTCGTGTGGCAGCCAGCAGCAGCAGTGGCAGTAGTGTACGAGATTGTAGGGCAGCTCTGTCAACGACGAGGATAGAGACGTAGATTAATGGCGCGCGTAATTCGCGTACTACGTGTGCATTAGAGTGTATAATATATGCGCGTGTAATTCTTCCTGCTGTTGTTGCTGCTGCTGCTGCTGCTGCTGCTGCTGCTGTGGCGGCGGTGGTGGTGGTAGTGGTGGTGGCGGTAGTGGTGGTGGTGGTGGTGGTGGTGGTGGTGGTGCTGCTGCTGCTGCTGCTGCTGCTGTTGTTGTTGTTATTGTTATTG